TGTCACATATTCAAAATCATTCAAAACATAAATGTATTTCACCTATCAGAAACCTGAAATTCATGTTTAAAATGATTTGGTCATTATTATTAGAATGAGCAATCACACAGTTATTATTTTTAGCATAGAAGATTTGTGGAGATTATAGGATTTTCCCCATTAAGATCACGAACTGATATGAGCTAGAACATCGGCTCAGTGGTCTACATTTTAAGTGTTTACACGCGAGATCAATGGACCTGGGTTCGATTCCCACCTCAGGGTCGTGGAACCGCACTTCTACGGAGTCCTATACTAGGACGAAATGGTCATCCAATGCTTTTAGATTTCCACCAGCATCCTAGCTCAAATTCACTCGTGATTTTAATGGTGAAAATGGTTATTGTTTATTACAATTTATGTTACTTAACTATGTTTATTAGAGGATAAACATAATGTTGTTATTCATAATACACTGATACTTAAATCCTATGTATCCTCCAGTCAAAGTATTTTTCACAGGTGAATAATTTAATATGGTCATTTTCAACTGCTTGTTTATACTCATTAATTTAATGGACTTTCTGGATGAAATTAATTAGTAGAAATTGCAGTAAATGGAAACATATCTATAATAATAGATCGATCAATTATTAAATTAAGCACAATTCCTGTTATATATATACAACAGATATTAATAGTACCAATGGAAATGTTTTATTCTGGATTTACTTTGGATTAAAATACACAATGAATTGAAGTGTATGCAATAGTTAATACAATTTTCAGAAATACAATGATTTTGTTTAAATGGTTAGTTTTTAAATCAAAAAGGGTTTTGTGGAGAATTTTAGAAATTTCACTGGTTGAAGTCATGAGTCAACTAAAGCTAGACCACCATGGAAAACCTGGAAGCACTGGACGGCCGTTTCGTCCTATTGTGGGACTCCTCATCAGTGCGCATCCACGATCCCGCCCCCGAGTGATTCGGACCCAGGACCTGTCAGTCTCGGAGAAGCGCTTAACCAACTAGACCACTAAGTCGGCATCCAATGGAGTTAATGTCTAACTTCAACCAATCCACGAAGTTGCGCCACTGTACACCATTGTCTTCAGTGAGTTCCTATCTCACAACAGACCTAGTTGAACACCACTGGTAACGAGAGATTTTAAGAGCAAGATAAGAAAACAGTGTTTGTGGCTCCTCAATAAGGATAATGACCCATAACTCTTAAAATAAGATCAAGTCCAGGATTTTCAGGTTATATTCTGTATCATCAGTGTCTATAGTATGGTAAGTGTAGATCATCAAATATCAATTCAATATACTGAAGCTGTCCTACTGACCAGTAGACTTGAATATCCTACGACTTAATTCACAGACGGTTTTAAATTTAGTTTAATAAGGAGTTTTATAATAGTGTAGGGAACGGAAATTTGGTGGAGGTGATCATTTCATAAGTTAGTGCAAAATTACAAAGTGCCTTAGTAAATTATGAAAACCATACATTGAATACTTTTATTTGCATATCTTTCTTCCGTTGTCTTTTACATGCTTCATGATTCTCCCAGATTTGTTTTCATTCCACTTCCTTTATACTTTGTTTTCTGTTCTCTTCAGTTCAATCTTCTCTTGACAAGCATTCCACTTTTGATTGGTGTTATATACTGCCTACATCTGTTAACATATGTAGCATGCACCACACTAGTCCCCACTTTACACGGTCGCTCCCGCGGTTATTCTGCTCGCTGTGCCACGCTCCCCATCAAAATGTCAAGTCGGCTGGCGCGCGCTCCGACGACCTGACAGGTTATTTAAACCCGATATCCACCCAGAAGCCGGGAGGTCTAACACCGCTCCAGCGACCCACTGAGCCATCTACATCCCGTGTTCTCCCAAGAGACACACGACCTTCCGTTTTTCCCCATTGACAGCAACTGCTATAATCAACGTCGCCTAGCCAGAACACTCTGTTCAACGTCACCTTACTGAACCGAACAACCCTAACTAGCCCCTCTTTTCCTAGCCCCGCAACAGAGTCCTCAGAACTTCACCCTCTCTACCTCCCGTCTGGCAATGACATCAAATGTAGTGGAGGAAGATTCAGGTCGACGAAACCAACTTATTGATTAATGCGTGATCATACAGTGGTTCACTACAATGTGAAAATCATTCATCCAATACATCATTTGCACATCTGATTTGAATTGTCTCTTAAAAGCTTCATTTCTGCTGTTATCTCGATAGCTTTCAGTTTCCTTCTCTCTGTTCATTTCCGTCTCTTCAACCTTCTGCTCGCAAACATTCCATTTTCGACTGGTGTTACATACTACTTATATCCGAAAACATGAGTAGCGTACACCACACTGAGACTGAAATCTCTGATCGGCGATTCCATTTTTCAAATGATTCAGTAGATAATATTATTTTTCTGTAAAAATTATCAACAGTGGTCAATTTTTTAAAAGTTGTGTGGATAGCTATTTTTTTATAAAACGTGGTAAATCATCACCGAAAACTATCGAAAATACGATCAACCTTGTTACTTCACATATAAATTAGATCAATTTTAATCCATAAAAGACAGTTTTCGTCAAATAAGAAAAAAAGGAGTGGGATCTTTTCAAAGTTAAACAGAAATCATTTTCCTGAAAGTTTTTTGTATATCATTTAAAAAGTTATCTCTCTATATTCCCTACTAGTCTCTAATAAACTGTTAACGAGAGGGCCGATGCACTACTCAGAAGTACACTGATTATTATTATGTGACTATAGAGACGGAAAGCATGCATAGCCCGACAGCTATCGATCATTGTGTCTTTTAAGCACTCTCCGCGTTTCATAGAACGACTGACTAAGCAATTTTTAGGTTGGGAATAGGGTAATAGGCAGCGATTACAAATCGACTGACAAGGATTTAAATTTTATCGACCGAGGTGATCTGGAAATGTGTTACGTTTTTCTGACTACTGCTCACCCCGATAGTCAATGCTTGGTTATGTAGCAGTAAGTTGGAAGAATATTAGGAGCGGCCAAATTAAATATTACATTCGTATATGAAGTTGTTGTTTTCTGATCTGATCCATGTTGATAGATGCAAAATACCTGACTGGAGTCGCGTGATAACCGTGATCAGTTGTTAAGGATTCTGTGTAAGATGACTTAAATGCAGTCACAATGGAGCAGAATCCTTCACTCTTTGATTTCCGTTATACATACTCTTCATTCTGTCTTTTTGATTCATATTTTCAGTTTTCGGCTTTTATTTTTACCATTATTGTAACATTATTTCAATCGCTTTTACTTATCTTCTTATTAATTTTATTTCGTCGTGTTAATGTAGTATAGAACCTTGGATTGACGCATATTTTTTTACGATCCATGTTAATTATAATTGACTGACTATATTCCAATAAAAATCGTCAAATGTCACGTCTATTTGGTCGTAAACTATTTCATTTATACAGCTCCTCAGCAAACTGAGAAGACCCATACTTTTACGAAACAACTGTCCAATGTTCCAGGTATTCAATGGTAGTCTAGCTTAAATCGATTCATCAATTTAACTATTAAAATCACTACAATTTCCACAAACCCTCATTCTGAATATGTACTAATCTAAAATCATCTATTGATCTTAGCTGATTACCTCTTTTACTACGTAAAGGCAATTATTATTTCTGCATCTTAAAAGTATATCTAATAAGATTATTTAAGTTTATAAAATATATAAATCATATTGATAGATAACTTATTATTCTGAGGCTAAGAGCAGAATCAAAGATACATATTTCATCCTATTTACAATTCATCATCTAGATTTATGTTCATCTCAGTGTTGATAATCAAACTTAAATTAGAACATAGTACTATGTACTTCAAATTCCAACACGTTATTCACTGAGCTAATAAGATCAGATAGCTAATTACATTTACAGTAAGTATAATATTTACATCATACCTATTAGGGAGGTTTTAATTAATTTTTTGATCTTATCTAAGGAAAGTTAATATTAATATTAGGTCCTAGGCTTGAATCTCGCGAGGTGGGATCGTGGTTGCGCACTGCCGAGGAGTCCCACAATAGGACGAAACAGCCGTCCAGTGCTTCCAGGTTCTCTATAGTGGTCTAACTTCAGTTGACTCATGATCTCAACTATTGAAATGAAATAAACTTTCATAAATATTGTACCTTTAATAAGATTATTTTTTTCCTGAAATACAAATAATGCTTTCTTATAATCAACTAAATGTTTTTCTACGAAGGTCTTCTGTATTATGCTCTCTGCATATTAATTCCTGTATTTTAACAAATTGGCATTCGAAATGATGTCTATTATACCCCCCCCCCAAAAGAAGATAAAGAAATAGATGTTGATTACGTCCAAATTTATTTTATTATTCTTTTTAAAGTATCGATAATTATTTAAAGGTTAAACCAACCGAACTAGATGCTACATTCCAAGTTATGAATGAAATGAAAATTCTTGGTCTAATCTGTTCATTGATTAATGGTTAAATAATCAATTTTCTTTTTTCTTTTGAATATGATGGACATACATCATATATGTAGACCGAATTTTGACACTATGGATCATCGTTAAATAATCAATTGAATGAAACTCGTCGTTATACATCAGTGTAAATAGGAGAAACTACTTTGACACTATGTTGTACCTCAGAAGATCGTCAACATCATACGTAGTTCATACGATGGACTATAGTACAAAGTCGTGAATGGAGGACAGCCGACAGATTCATTCCAAATGAAGACTGGAGTCAGATAAGACTGCTTACTCTCCTTCTTTCTCTTTCTTTTGGTGGTTGACTGGATTATCAAGACCTTCACATCTGAGGGAAGCATGGAATACAATGGACAAGTTGAATGCAACTAGATGATTTGGACTTCTCAGTTAGCGTGACCCTTCTATCCCATACACATCGACAAATGTAGGTTAAGACAAACAATATAGCAGCAGCCTGTGCATCAGTAGGTCTCAACATACACAAGGGAAAAAGCATGATCCTTAAATACAACATGGAGAACACCGAACCAGTCACACTTGATGGAGAAGCTCTGGAAGTTATGGAATCTTTCACGTACCTAGGAAGGATCATCAATGGACTTGGAGGAACTGGTGCAGATGTAAAGGTGAGTATTGGCAAATCAAGGGCAGCATTCCTACAATTGAAGAACATATGTCATTCACAGCAACTGTCAACCAACATCAAATTGAGAATCTTCAATACGAACGTCAAGGCAGTTCAACTGTACGGAGCTAAAACGTTGAGAACTACTACAACCATCATCAAAAAGGTATAAGTATTTATAAATAGTTGTCTACACAAGATATTCAATGTCAGTTTGTCGGATACCATCAGCAACAGCCTACTGTGAGAGAGAATAAACCAACTTCCAGCTGAGGAGGAAATCAGGTAAAGACGAAGAAAGGGGATACGACACACATTGAGGAAATCATCAAACTGCACCACAAGGCAAGAGCTAACTTGGAATCCTGAAGGGAAATGAAAAAGAGGAAAACTAGAGAACGTATTACGTCGGGAACAGAAAGCACACATGAAAAGGATGAACATCAGCTGCAAAGAACTGGAAAGGATATTACAAGACATAGTTGGATATATAATGCTGGTGAGCGGCCTGTGCCCTTCGATGAGGGGTAACAGGCGTAAGTCAGCATAATGTCTCTATGGGTATTTCTTCCGCCGAATAAATTCGTTTAACGCCCTACATTCGACTACAAGTACAAGCTAGTGATCAATAGAAATAATTATTTTTAAAACAGATAGATTGTGGAAAAAGCTATATTGTTGGTGATCATGGACCAAAAATCCTAGATTCTATTCCCAAATGTCAATAAGACACCATGACCAGTGGAGTTAAACAGTGTTGGATGTGAGGAAGGTACTCAACAAAGACAATGGAAAGTAGTTGGGAACTCTCGTGAGTTGATTTTATTTAAAGTTGTACGTCTTGTACATCGAGACCGAAATTCATGGGTTTGGTTGTGGAGCCGTGGGTGTACACTGGTAAGTAAACGGCTGTCCAGTGTTTCCGGGTGTTCAATTGTTATCTAACTTAAATCGATTTGTGATTTCAATGAAATTCAACAACCTCTACGGCCCTATACAGATATAGCTCTTAACATCAAGAACGAGGATTCATGAACCCTTAGCGATAAATTCATATCTGTTAAATGAGTTCGTTACTGTCTAAAGTTAGTAATTTGATGTATAACCCATTTGAATTTGATGAGACTTGTAATTTATTTCGAAGAGGAACCATAAAAAGATGGAGACTTTTGATAGAGCCCATTCAATATCACGTTTAGGATAGAACTGAGGAACATTATTTCTCGTGATAATGTTATTCAATAACTGGAAGACAAAATCTGGTGATCTAGATTTACCTCATGTTGGGACAGATTCTGAGAAGCGCGTCGAAGAGTTTCTACCCAATCTGAACTTGATAGACCTTTCTAGACTGTCAACGTGACATGCTACCATTGGACGATAGCATAACTTGCCTCCTTGAAGATCTACTGAATTATATCGATGTCATAGCTAACGCCAATTTCGATAAATACCTATGTTTTACTGTACATTTTTGATTCATACCCAATATCAGAATGAGTTTTGTGGAGAGTTTTAGAAATTTCACAGGTTGAAATCATGAGTCATTTGAAGCTAGACCACCATTGAGAACCTGGAATCACTGGACGGCCGTTTCGTCCTGGTATGGGACTCCTCAGCAGTGCGCATCCACGATCCCGCGCCACGCGGGGCTCGAACCCAGGACCTACCGGCGCGCGAGCACTTAACCACTAGGCCACTGAGCCGGCATCCAACGGCGTTAATGTCTAACTTCAACCAATCCACGAAGTTGCGCCACCGTACACCATTGTCTTCAGTGAGTTGTTATCTCACAACAGACCGGTTGAACTCCACTGGTAACGGCTTCTCACTAGAACTCCAGGAGTTTTGCTTGAAGTCAGTCATTAATGAGCAGTTGATTATTATCAGAATGGGTTTTGTGGAGAGTTTTAGAAATTTCACAGGTTGAAATCATGAGTCAGTTGAAGCTAGACCACCATTGAAAACCTGGGAGCACTGGACGGCCGTTTCGTCCTGGTATGGGACTCCTCAGCAGTGCGCATCCACGATCCCGCACCACGCGGGGCTCGAACCCAGGACCTACTGGCTTCACTTCCCTTGCTCCTTCTGATTTCACAACTGTGGGGTTTTACACGTTCGAATGCCGTTAGTTTTTTTTATCGTATTCGGCCTTAATCAAGTAGAGGATCTAACAACTCAGTTGTAGTTTGGGATTTACTACAGACATAACTAATTCTGTCAGTAATATTTATCTTGTTTCTTGTATATGTTTTGCTCTATTCCTGAATAGGCATTTGAAAAATTGTTACAAAAACTAATCAGTACTGAAAATACAATTACTGTTAGAATAAAGTGTTTTGTGTAAACTATTCATTTGAGAAGCGGTGACAAGTGAATGTCAACCGTTTTAGAAAAAGTGGAAATATCACTGATCTGCAGCTGTTAGTTATGGATATATATAGAGTAGTACTTACCTAATAAACGAACGAGAAAAATTGATTGAAATTCCTGCGTTCCATACATTTAATGTAAATGAACACTTTGTTGATAGCTTCAACTGTCAATAATATTGATGTAAGACTAGTGTACCATAGATGAACTTTGTGTAGGCTTGTCAATAATATCTAACTAGGAGTTCCATACTAAGATCAAAAGCAATTGTGTTACTGTCTTACAATCGATGTAATTTTATGAGATTAATACAGCACAATTTAATTGTAACTTTTCATTGAAATCATGCTAGATCACTATTGAAAACCTGGAAGCACTGGACGGTCAGAATTCAACTGTGTCGGGTGTGAAGCAGTTATCTGACAAAAACAATGAAAAATGATCGCACAATATCGTGGATTGATTGAAGTTAGACATTAACATTGTTAGATACTAACTCAGTGATCGTGGAGTTAATCATTTTCACACAAGAATGAAGGTCCTGAGTTTGAATTTCTCATATTGGGATCCTGAAGATACACTGTTGAGGAGTCCTATACTGAGACAAAACAATTGTTCAGTTCTTCCAGTTTTTCAATAGTGGCCTAAAACTGATCGATCCATAATTTCAATGAAATTCAACAATCCAACTATATTTGAGGATGAAAAAATGGAAAAAATGTCAAGGTTAAACGAGCAATAACAAAACCTTGATATTACAGTAAAGTTTCTTTTATAAAGAAGATTTATGTTATGATGGATAGTGGCTAGTTATGGAATCCAAGAGGCGCGCTTAGTCCCATTTGGGACTAGTCAGCTGGATATACCTGCACCTCAGAGTTGATGTTCACTCTGGGACTCGAACCCAGTACCACTTGCTTCAAACGCCACTTGCTTGTGTAATGGGGTGAATTTAAATTCACTTGGTATTGTTTGGCTTGTATCTTCCCATTGAGGTTTAACACTGCGATTGATCAGTCTGTTACTGGCATATGTGCATACTGTGCGTATGCCTCGATATTGCCTTAATTCACAAGCTTTTTGTAAGCACTGATAGATATTGGCTAGCAGTGGAATGGAGGACGCGCGTTTCGTCCTATTTGGGACTCGTCAGCTGGGTGTACCTGCATCTCAGAGTTGATGTTCACTCTGGGCCTCGAACCTAACACTCAGTAGCTGAGTGGATAACGCGATGGCGGTCGAAGCGAATGGATTCCACTACTAACCGCTATCCATCTTTGCTTTAAAAAAGCTTATGAATTAAGGCAATATCGAGGCATATGCACATATGCCAATAACAGACTGATCAATTGCAGTCTTAAACCTCAAGCCAAACAATACCGAGTGAAGATTTATGTTAGTTTTAGATGTATGAATTGTTTAAACAAACAAACAGAGATTTGATTTATTTTCAAAGTAAATTTTCATTTTAAAGAGATAGTTGTTTATATTCCTTTCTGGTGAATTGAATGGTAATTTATCATTAAGATTTACTGAAAGAATATCTAAATCAACAGTTCACATTCAAAAATATTTTCCCCGGGTTTTAAATTGTTCATATTCTTAATTGAATTATGTTCAATGTTCATTAGCATATGTGCATAACTATAGTAGTAATTCGGCCAAAGATATTAAATGGTGACATTGGCTAGATGAATAATTCGATTACGCACAGTGAACCGCCTACATTTACATTTTTCACCTTATTATGACCTTGAGACAGTATATAACCAGTCATGAATCGCCCAGAGTTTCAGTAAAGTTATCCTACATACAATTCATGCTTTTCATTCACTATAATCCCTTTTTTTATTAATGTGTCATTTCACATATTCACTTCAATAATCATATAAGTATCATTGCTGATACAAACATAGAATAACTAAAGATCTTAGTTTTGACTGTATATTTGATTGTTATTGATCGGATTTTCAGTCTACTCCCTGCCGTTCATGCCTGACTTCAGAAATTACTGGTTATTCCTCAGCTCTACATTGCATACCCAATCATTGTCAGTAAATAAATAAAATGATATTAAGCTCACTTGGAAAAATTTCCATTTTTCTAAAGTTTAATGTTTCACATTTTTATAACCTCATTATGATTAGTCAAAAAAATAAGATATATGATCGACTAGTAGTGTAAAGCACGACAATAAGTAGGAAGTATGTGTATTTGTTTCGAGAAGTTACTAAGTAATTACAGAATACACATACATAACATTCAGTCGTTCATTTACATCTCCCAGTATGTTTTATAATCGGAACTATCTTCTCAACTGGTCTCCAAATGTTCTACCAACGCCGTGCTTTCATTCACTGAAATTATTCTCTGTGACCGACAAATGTTGCAACTTCCACACCACTTTTCGCTACACACTATTTACAAACATACTTGTGAGTAGCATCCACTGCATTAGTATTATAGAGTCTTAACCAATCTGATAAGGTGTAGAAATGATTTCAGGCTATGTATGCAAGAACTCACTTATCAAATGTAATTTTAAATGTTACTAAATGACCACAAGGTTTTCAGTCTCCAATAAAATTACTATATCCACCATTTCAAATCATTTCTCAGTTCATTTCATCGTGTAATTTTCACTGCAGTTCTCAATTCCAGTGTTTGGAATTACCCATAACTGTCAGTGTCGCGACTTTTGTCCTGTTGATTTATCACGTGATATGACTTATAATTATACTATACACTGTATTACAACAATGACTTATTGACCGGTATGAACAGTCGTGTCCTAATTGGTCCTTTTCATGCCTAACCGTGCTTATTCAGTCATTAATGCCAATATCAGCTTCCATCATGCCTATCCTATATTTCAAACAGAATTGGTTTACATGTAAACAAATCCGATTACATCACACCATAAATTAGAAAATAACATTTGTATAGTATCAAGCCAGAAAGTGTCTGTAATTACTAGAAACTGTCACTAATAAATTGGAAATATTTCAAGAATAGTAAATGGAATGATAATAGTTAATAAATCAAATAAAAGCTTATAATGAAAGGAATATGAATATACATATAATCTAGTTACTCAATAGTCATACAAAAGAATATTCGTATGTTAGTGCTTCCTAACAGTTACCATTCATTTATTCTTGTTCGGTTATGACACTATGTACATTGAACTTTGAAGAAATGATATGTTCAGATGATTGTATGAAAGGAATATGAATATACATATAATCTAGTTACTTAATGGTTATACATTAAGAATATATATATAATAGTTCTCAGAAATTACCCATAATTTGATCTTCACCCGGTTAATAACAATCAGTTTTCAGCATATTTATTTACTATAGTTTAAGATACTGAATAACACAATCTAATACAGTGTTAGTTAGAACTTGTAATGAAATCTTCATTGATAATAACACATCAATATACATTAATTCTTAACCGACTGAATAGGAAAATAATGAAGATTGTTGGTTGGATAAAATATAGTTATCGAATATTGGAAACATTATGTATAACCTTGACCGGTCATATTGAATAGAAATACTATAAATGTAAGTTATTTATCAGCTCAAAAAAAAAATTAAATAAACAGGGATGAAAACAAAACTGTCGTGACTATAATTTATGAACGAATCAATCAGATATAAAAATAACAGGTCTCAAATTTTGACGCAAAGTTCACTTATCCATTTGGATAAATAGAGTTTCGGCATTATGACTTCTGTTAGTTCATGTTGAAAATCTTAAATCTAATTCTTAACCTTAACCATCATTTTTTATTTTATTTTATTTTCACACATAGATATTGGTACAAGGAGGCAGCAAATACATATGCGCCACACAAATCTCATTTAATATGTGTGAGAGCTGTGATACTGCCTGGGTGCCCAAACCGAAGCAGGTGGTTTTCTTGGGGGCCACATCTGGAGACTTCGACCTACAGGTCTGATCCATAAGGCAGTGGAGCAACTACAAGAGATGCAGTCCCATGGTAGCCGGTGACCAATAGTTGGTTTATACGCCATTTGTTCCCTCAGAGTACTGGAGCCCATGTGCATCATTGGTTTGGAACCAGAGTTTTCCAACTCCCCTACGTGGACTCTCCATGTTCACCAACCCGGTCAAAGCGCCGTACACTCGTCTTCTCAATTTCGTAAACAACAGAAATGCCACGAGAAGGCAGTGAGTAGGACTTCCCTGGCAGAGGCTATATACGCGTGGTCATTTGACAGTATTTCGACAGGGAGAGCGGACTCTCCCTACTCTCGACCGTACCAGGGCATCATAATCCTTATTCTTCAAATGGTTTATAATCCTCATTTGCTCCTAGTTGTTAGGCGGACACTGTCGGATCACTTTAACATTGCTCAAATATTGTCTATAAATTATCGTCTCATCATCTATGAATCAATATAAAGCATTCAGTAAATCCTTATTTATTTTAATTCATTTTATCCTTAAATTATTACTTTATGATTCTCATTTGTAAATAATTTAACTATATTAACATCTGTATATAAAGTGGTTTATTGAATTCAATGAATGAATTCCAGATAACATGAACATATGTGTCCTGAATTTCGACAATCAACACTATTATTATGTAATCATTATATTATATCATTTTAACTGATATTCGTTATCCAAGTTAAACAAATCAACAACAGACAATGTAGTTAAGATACATAGTGTCATGATTGCAAGTGTTTTGTTTTTCCTAGTTCCAATTAACTATCCATCATCATAAATGAAATGATTCATTAATGGATTAGTTTATTTTTGGTTGTCTAACAGATGTCTGTTTTATAATAATTGTGTAGGAAGCAATTTCCTACAGGTGTAAACTCTAAACTATTCTCTAGACTGTCGAGCACAGAGTCTTGGTTTAGCCAAAATCAGAACATGTAAGCTATTTGGCTTGATAAACTACTTTATCTGTTTCTAAAACATAAATTAACTTCTACCTGAAGTTTGTGTTGATGATGTCGTTCAGAAGAACGATGAAAGCTCCACGACCAAACCATCCACCTCAGAGAACAAAACTCCATCAAAATCAACTAACACTGTTAGTAGACAAAATAAACAATACAGTCTATTAACACAGGGAAAAACAGAGAGATAAATAACATATCGAACAGTAGCTAGAGGATAAGAAAAATAAGTCAACAAGGCAAATATTGTTTTATAGTGAACATAAATTTGTGATTAATGAGTAAACAAGACATAGTCATACAAGGTCAAAGGAAGTTAATGTGGTGGTGGGCGTAAAATATGATCATAACTGAAGTATTGATACGACCAGAACTTCTGAATAGGTTCCTAATGAAAAATTAGCGTTGAATCATTGGATTATCCCATTATATTTTAAGTTTATTGAAATCGCTAGTCAATTTAATTTAGACAACCATCGAGGACATTAAAGCACTAATTGGCCGTTGCTTTTTAACATGGGACTCCTCAGAAATGTGCATCCATGACTACGTAACCAAGGCCCTAAGTTCGGTTTCAGTGTTTCTACGTTTTCGATGGTTGTCCAACTTAAGTTGGTTTGTGATTTGAATGAAATTCAGGTAGATAAATCGTTAAGGAAAACAATCTAATTATTTTTATAGGTATCATTACCAGGGTTTGACTTGATAATTTCGAACCAATTGAGCATTGGGTAGATTGTTATAAATAAATAATATATAAAGTAATAATAAAGAGAACGACAATACTCTTTCTGACAGATGTTCTTTAAGCATCAGTCTAGTAATGAAATCCTTAAAACTTTGCTTAAATTCGACTCTATTCACTTTTAACTGGACGTTATACAAACAAACTAACAGTGTAGCGATGGAATCCCTCGTGTCCACGATTGCAGCCAACCTGTTTATGGCGCATATAGAATCAAATATTTTAGCCAACGAAATTAAACCACGAGTTTGGTTTAGATACGTAGATGATACATTTGTTGTGACAAAAAAGATTCATCTAAGATCATTTTCAAAACGGATAAATACACTTTCATCTCACATCAAATTCATGAACGAGAATGCAAATGAACATAATGAGCTATCATTTTTAGATTGCTTAGTGAAAAGAAATCTAAATGGAATTTTAAATCTATCCATCTACCAAAAACCTACACACTCTAATCGCTATATTAACTCCCATTTAGCACATTCCTTCAGTGCTAAGATCTCGCTAGCCTTAAATCTTTTTTTAGAAGAGATAACAAGATTATCACATCAGAACAGGATAAACAAAAAGGACGAAGGAATGTAATTAGTATCTTAGAAATTAATGATTTCCCTATGAAGATTATTAGAAGTATATTAAAACAAGACGCTTCATTGCGTAATAATAATAATTCGAATGAAACACCATGGATTGATAATGCAGTTTTACAATACCGTCATGGCACAACAGAAGAACTCCAAAGAATCTTAAAACAACACAGAACTAAAGTATATTACAAAACAACGAACACATTTCGAAATACTTTAGTTCGCTTTAAAAAAAATATCCCATTCATGTCAACACAGAACTGCGTCTACAAATTAGGTTGTGTCGATTGTGATGCCTATTATATTGGAGAGTGATCTTGCGAAATCTTGACTCATGTCAAAGAACATATTAGGTACACAAAGAAACCTCCTAATAATCCCGTAGAAATGGATAGACTTCAAATTAAATCGGTAATAGCAGTTCACGACATTTTCAACGACCACCAAATCGATTTCATTAATATTAAAATATTAGCTAAGTAGATAGCGTGATGGCGTTTGAAGCGAACAGTAATGGGTTCGAGTCCCAGAGTGAGCATCAACTCTGGAGTGCAGATCCCAAATAGGACGAAACGCGCTTCATGGATTCCACTGCTAGCCACTTTCCATCTTTGCTTAAAAAGCTTGTGACTTATGGCTATATCAAGACAATCCTCACAAGTTGCACATGTGCCAACATGAGATTGATCAATTGCCATCCGAAATAACAATAGGAAGATACAAGTAAAACAACACCAAGTGAATTAACAATTTTATTGTATCTTATTTAACAATCCTAAATTCACATGCTTTAAACAATGTACTATACCCTTTTACCTGACCATTTTTCCGGATTATTAATTTAGATATATATGAATTATAGAACTTGAATAGAATCTATCGAAAAGAATATTCTTCATTGAAATATTAGCCTTCAATTCGTATGTTTCAACGCAGTTTGTTTGTTTGTCTGTTGTTTTTCTTCGAAATATTCTTTTACTAATGTTCTTTCTTTGTTTTGTTGTTGTTGTTTTTTGTTTCTTCTAAGTTAACTGAAACATTTTACGAATAAATGAATGATTTTATTCCCAAGACAGATTCCAATGTTATACAGTCGCTAAATATCAACTTAATTAAGTCTTATTATTATTATCTTCTACCCCATTTCAAATATTTCTGCATAAAATTCCATTTGTTTCTAACAAACAAAAAAGAAAGAATTTGTATTCTTTTTTAAAAAGAGAAGTAAGATGGATATTCAATAGTTTAATCGTAGAAACAATTTTGTTTTGAATCAAGTAGCTTAATACACAATTGAAAAATTGAAGTTATAAAGAATAAGATAACATTGTGACGACGGGCCACGGGTGAACTCGAGGAAGTTGTAGGAGGCTCAGAAGGAGCTGAAGATATTCCATCCTTTTGGAAGAATGTACTAGAATTCCTACGTTTAGGTTCTCGATTGGACAATGCTGATTGGTGAACTGTAATGATGATTTTGTTCTTACTAAAAACTATAAATACCTGACGATTTTGTACTATAATTGACACTATCTGGGAATAATATTCCATTCATTAGTCTTCTGTCTTCTCATTTTGACTTCGAAGGGTTCTAGAGTTCTAGTGCTCACGTTATACGCGGCATATCAAGAACAACCTTCTAGATATAACAAACATGATGTACAAAATTATACTTAAAATAATCTAAATGATTTAAGATTTGATCATTCAAAGTTTTGTACAACAAACTGGTTTGAGTATGTTTAGGGTAAATTTTACGTTTTTATTTATTTATTTGAACACATAAATATCGATAAAAACAGGCACCGAATAAATATGCGCCATATAAGTCAATTGATTTGTGTGTGGGATATGATACTTCTTGGGTGCTCAAACTGAAGTAGGTAGTTTTCATAAGGGGCCACACCCGGAGCCTTCGACATAAAGGTCTGATCCATAAGGCAGTGGATCAACATAAGCAGATGCAGTCCCATTGTAGCCGGTAACAAACAAAAGGTTCATACATCATTTGTCCTTTCAGGATCCTCGAGCCCATGTGCATCATTGGTTTGGAATCAGAGTTTTCCAACTCCCCTAGGTGGATCCTCCATATCCATCAACCAGATTAGCGCAACGAACATTCGATTTTCACCATCTCAATTTCGTGAACAGTAACCCTGCGGCGAGAATTTAGTGAGTAGGACTTCTGTGGCACTGACTGTATGCATATGGCCATTTGAGAGTATTTCGAGAGAGAAAGCTGACTCTCCCCACCATCGGCCGTACCGGGGCATTTGTGTGCATTTTAAGCTTTAACAATCAGTTTTTACAAAAAGCGTGTCCGTTCATGCAAGAACGTTGATTTAGTATATACACAATATCTTCATTTACCTTCAAATTGATGCTTGTGAAAGAAAAAAAACCCAGAATGAACTGTAAGAGACTGAAATTCAAGTATTTAAAATGAAATAAAAGTCTATCATGCTGACTACTGATAATCAATAAATAATTTACAACACAGATTATCCATAATTAGACAAATATTAAAAACCTAGAAGGACTGAATAACTATTTCTTCATAATATAATATCCCTCAACAGTGCTCATTCACGACTCCAATGGGGATCACACTTTATTGTAAGAAGAAATCCCTATAAACTAATATACGGATAGTATTCATCATCTCACCAATTGATAATTTCTAGAGATAATTGATGAAATTCCATTAAGAAAATGCGACTAATGGAATTAAACTATGTTGTACAAGAAGCATTTGCCCATCATTAACATTGAAAGGTGATCACATAATACCACGAGTTGATTGAAGCAAGAAATATAAACTATTAGGCGCCCAAACAGTTATTCTGTTATATTAACGATAGAATTATATATATAAACTAGAATATTCATAATTTTTCAGACAATAATATTTTTATGAGAATGGGTTTCGTGGAGATTTTTTAGAAATTTCACTGGTTGAAATCATGAGTCAGTTGAAGCTAGACCACCACGGAAAACCTAGAAGCACGAGACGGCCGTTTCATCCTGGTATGGGACTCCTCAACAGTGCGCATCCACGATCCCAACCCCCGCGAGGTTCGAACTCAGGACCTATCAGTCTCGCGCCATTAAGAAAATATGACTAATGGAATTAAACTATGTTGCATTTATCCATCATTAGCATTGAAAGGGGATCACACAATATCACAAGTTGATTGAAGCAAGAAATAAAAACTATTAGCGCCCAAACAGTTATTCTGTTATACAAACGATAGAATCATATATATATATATATATATATATATATATATATATATATATATATATGTCTATTTTCTAGAATATGCACAATTTTTTAGACAGTAATATTTTTAGTTAGATTAACATGGTCACTATGTATTTATTAGCATTATTCATTCTATTTTACATTATTATACATAAACTAAACAGAAT